GTAGTCTGTTAAATGCCAGTGTTTGCTGTGAGGGTGCATTCATGAAGTTTTATTGCATTTAGGTAAACAGAAGACAGTGTTGGCGATGAGAAGGTCGTGAAACACATAAGTCTTCAGTAGTAAGTGACCATTACTGTTGCTGTTTCTGACTCCAAACTTGTCCTCTTTTGGCACGTTTATAATGAGGGTCTTCTTCATAAAGTTTTTTTTTGTCTTCATTTGGGTTCATCATGGTGAGAGCATATACACTGATGATGGTGGCATAGCACTTTCCTGTAAGTGGCAATCATATTGTCATGAGCCTGTCATTTGCTACTCTGAGGAGGCATACAAGCTTGTTGACTAGATTTGATTGTACCTACACCAGCTTCATAGTACCCCACATCACTGCATCTACTTTAGAAAAATAGGGGCAGCTAGGTGGCGCAGTAGATAGAGCACCAGCCCTGAAGTCAGGAAGACCGGAGTTCAAATCCGGCCTCAGACCAAACACTTGACATGTACTAGCTGTGTGACCTTGGGCAAGTCACTTAACCCTGATTGCCTCACCAAAAAAAAGAAAAGAAAAGAAAAATATGCAGGCCTCACACCAGAGGTACTAGTACTCCCTGAACACCTCATACACCTTTTCGAGGACCTAATCTTATACGTGAGTATATAACTATTAACAAGTGAATGGCAAGTTCAATAATTCATTAACTTATTTGCTTAGAATATGGCATTAACTACAAATTCAGATCGAAAACAGTAAGTTTTTTCACACTTGCATCCTATTATAGTAACTCAGAGATGTTTTGGTATTGCAAAAAGAAAACTTCTACAATTCACCTGATCTGATTATAGAAATTTGCTATGAAAGGAAAAAGGAGGGACGTGGTTATGACAATATCAAGACTGTCCCCTCAAGGACACAGGCTGACCTAACATAATCTATAATGGGAGAAAACTTCTCCTAGCTCTGTTTAATTTTAGGCATGAGTCATAGTTAAAGCCAATCACATGGCAAAGTTCCACATTATTCACAAGATATCATAGCCAGGTTCAGAATTAACCAGATGGGAAAATATCCTGTTCAGAAAGGAAAATAGCACAATGGAGAAATTGAGTTAAGGGGCTCCTTCCTTTTGCCTATGCAAGGTCATCCCCTCAATTTTCCCAGATACAGGTATCCACCTCTAGCAGTTGGGCAGCACATTGTGTTCCGCTTGAATGGTAGACTATTGGCTTAATGATACTTTAGACAACCATACCTGAAATCAAAACTTAGAACAATACTAGGTTGCAGTCCCATAAGATTTCACCTCACAAAGCAAAATTTCACTGATCATAGCTTAGGGCTAAGTTATTTTTTTTCTTGTGTTACAAGAGTGCATAGAAAGACATCTTATTTGTCCTTCAGTTATAATTTAAGAATAATTACATTCTGGAGTTTCACACACGTACTGAATACAGGATAAGTGACTCCAAACCCCAGAAAAATGCTGTGCATAGAAAGTCATCAATTTTGTACTACCTGTTAATCCCTGAGGCAAAAACGAGTGTTTGAATCGAAGGACTGCTGTTACTAAGTTGGCCCAAAGATGTAACTTCAATACAGACTATTAACAGGTAGAATTTAATAGTTTTCATAAGTGGTAGTCAATCTGTCAGATGAAACCTACTCCTTACTACAAGCAAACTTGTAAATTTTCTCACTTTGGCTGCCAGAGGTCCTACTTTCTCAAAATTTAATACTTTAGAACTTTATCACACTCAGTCAGTAGGGTTGATAAGATCTTATGACCTTGTCCAAGTAGAAAGGAACCTCACAGATAGAGATAATTTGAAGAGGACTTTGTTATTTTTTCTCCCAATGATGAGTTATTATTATTATTGTTATCCATTTTAAAGCAAATACACCCTATACAATTTTTAAATTTTCAAACACTTTTACCACATTCTTTTAACTGCTCAAATCTGACATCTGCCAGATTAAGAAAAGTTACTTTTCTAACAATATTTCTGATATGGTGGTTTCCCAAATTGCACAATATAAGAAAATTTTTTTGGAAACACAATACTATACAGAATCATGAATTTAAAATATAAAATAAAACTTATAACCAGTCAGATGACATTAATTCACTTGAATGCATTTCCAAATTATCTTGCATTAGAAAATAATTCATTTTATCTCTTTTGCTATTTTTCTTGATTTTGTGGAGTCCAAAATTGCCCAATCTATAATAAAAGAAACTAAGGCAAAGCTCCAGGCCAATAGCACTTTATTAAAAGGTCCATGGCCCCCACTAGTGAAGTGGACCTCAGCTCTCCTTCATGATCTGAGATGCCACCTTCCTCCAGGGCCTTAGTTTTATGGTGCTTGTACCCAGATGAGCATCCTTTAAGTTTAACATACTGGAGATTCTTTGCAATGTTCACTTGCTAAACCCGGATATTCTCCTTCTGTGCTGGCAACCATAAAACTGACTTAAGCTGGTTTATACCAGCTCTAATAGACAGAACTAGCACAAGCATCCTAGTTCCTGGACCTTGGAGACTTTTCATTCTTCCTTCTTCCTTATTCCATGTAGGCATATCATGATCTCTGTGAAATGGCCCCTCCCTGGGAAATGGAAACTGAACTCAAGGGACTGTGGCAGTACCTGATCGGGCCATGACACAGCAGTTCTCACCCATCTTTGTGGTTTCTTTTTGTCTTTATAATCTGTGCAATCTAACCCCAAAGAGAGCACAGTTCTGACTGTAGCTCCGAATGCATGCCTGCCACTTTGAAAGAAAATAAACATGCATACAACCTAATTCTGTTTGTCTTTCTTAGAGCAAACTCTGGAAATTGACATTCCTTATATTAAAACAATAAATGTCTCAATCTCCATAGAAAGAGTGGTCTTAAAAAAAGGTCTAAGCACTGTTCCCGTGTAACTTTTCCCATAGTTTTATTCTTATTTTTCCTTAAAACATTCCACAGAGTGGTACCTCAAAACCTCAAAAATGTTGCCCATTTGATATATACCAATAAAACAAGCAAAAAACATCAACAATAAGAAAAGATACTAGAAATCCTAGGCCATGTTTCTTTTACTTCTTTGGGAAATAACTTAGGAGATAAGCTCTTTCACCTTTGTCTCTACCCTAGTTCATCATAGGCATTTGACAAATACTGCTGCTATCAAACATTTCCACATTTATAGGAATGTTCAAACCACAATTTGAAAGTTTTCAGTTGAGAACTTACATTTTAGTTACACATTTAGTCTGTAATTAGTTCACAATGCCATAAATTCCTCCAGATTGGGGGAGTAAGATTGCCTTGCCTCTTATCTCTGTCTCTTGTCTGCCTCCCCACAATTGTTCCATTTTCCATTGCCCTCCTTCCATTTCTTATACTGTATGATATGAATATGTACATTTACATTTTAAAAGGAATAAAATCTCAGAATTTCACAATTTGTTTATTATTTACTTTATCTTGATGAGAGAGAAAATATTTCTGAAGACTTTGAAAATTCATCAGAAGTTTTCACTTTTTTCACTCTTTCCTGAACAAGTTATATGATGAAATACTGTTGTAGTGTAAAAAAATTATGAAAAGGATGGTTTCAGAGAAATCTGGTAAGTCTTGTATGAAGTAATGCAGAGTGAGGTGAATAGAATCAGGAGAATGGTTTATACAATGATAACAATCACATAAAGACAAAACAATTTTCAAAAATGTATGAATTCTGTTAAATGAAATAACCAGTTATGTTTCTAGAGAACTCATGGTGAAATATGCTGCTTACTTCATGACAGACATAATGGACTCAGGATGCAGATTAAGACTTTTTTTTTTAAGATAACCAATGTGGGAATTTGTCTTACTTTGCTATACGTGTTTATAACAGAAGTTTTGTTTTTCTTTCTCAGTTGGAGAAGGTAGGAGGAAAGGAAGGCATATTTTTATTGATTGAAAGAAAGATTTAACTTTTTAAAAAATGTTGCCCATTTGATATATGCCAGTAAAAGAAGCAAAAAACATCAACAATAGCAAAGATAGTAGAGGTCCTATACCATGTTTCTTTGACTTCTTTGGGAAATAGCTTATGAGACAGGGAGCTCTTTCACCTTTGTCTCTACCCTAGTTCTATCATAGGTATTTGATAAATACTGCTGCTATTAAAGATACTATCATCCTCCCACTTGCTCGGGCTCTCACCATCAGTATCATCCTCAACTTCTCACCCCACATATCCAATATGTTACCACATCTTGTTTCTGCCTTCGCAAATCTTCTGTGTACATCCCTTTCTTTCCATTCCTGGTGCAGACACTTATCACCTCACATCTGGACTATTGGAGTAGTGTGCTGGTTGGTCTTTTTTTGTCTCAAGTCTCTTATCAATTCTTCATTTAGCTACCAAACTAATGCATATATCTAACCATGTCAATCCCCTGCTCAATAAATTTTAGTTGCTCTCCTTTACCTCGAGGAACAAATAAAAGACCTTCTATTTGGCTTTTAAAGCTCTTCCAAATATTTTCTAGTTTTCTTACATTTTACGCCCCCTCCATGTACTTTGTGATCTAGCAACACTGGTTTTCTTACTCTTTCCCATACTAACACTCCCTCTCCCAGCTCCATACATTTACATTGGCTGGAATGCTCTCCCTCCTCACCTCTTCCTCCTAGCATCCTTAAAGACTCAGCTTAAATCCTACCTTCTTCAGGAGACCTTTCCTAGTCTTTCCCCTCTCTGTTCACACACACTCATGCACACATTCCTAATGTCTTCCCTCTGATATTACCTTCAATTTAAACTGTTATATATCTTCTATGTACATAATTATTTAGTCAATCTCTCCCCCATTAGAATGTGCTCTCCTTGAGAACAGACTTTGTGCTTTCCATTCTATCCACAGCATTTAGCAGAATGCTTGGCACACAATGAGTAAATTTTTGTTAATTTACAGATTAATAACCAGACTAATACTGAGATTGATTTTTTTTTAATTTACAGATAATTCCATTTACAAAATTTTGCCTGAAACAGAAAAAACTCCAGAGGTAAGTTCTTTTAGAATGAAGAATAAAGTAACTACTGAGACATAGAAAACTAATTCAGTACTAAAGCAGGATTTATTTAGGAAAGTATTTTTCAATTCTTTAAATCTGTGATTCACAGCTTTTCTATAGACACATAACAGAATTGTTCAATTTTGCATTGCCCTCTTTCCATTTCTTATACTGTATGATATGAATATATACATTTACAATTTTAAAAGGAATAAAAGCTCAGAGAATTGCACAATTTGTTTATTATTACTTTATCTTTTTTTTTCTTTTTTAGGCAATTGGGGTTAAATGATTTGCCCAGGGTCACATAGCTAGTAAGTGTCAAATGTTTGGTCTGAGGCCGGATTTGAGCACAGGTCCTCCTGACTTTGGGGCCAGTGCTTTATCCACTGCACCACCTAGTTGCCCCTTATTATTACTTTATCTCAAAGCAGTGTTCTGTAACCCTTGCTAGATGATAGACTATGGCAGGGGCAGCAGTTTCTTATTAACCTTTCAAATATTTCTAGAGCACTTAAGTTTGTATGTGGGTGGGGGTGTGTGTGTGTGTGTGTGTGTGTGTGTGTGTGTGTGTGTGTGTGTGGTGACTACTTCCTGTCACATCCTATCTTGAATTATACTTACCTGTATATATGCCCCGTACCTCCTAATGTTCCCTCTCTCAGGATAGCTCAGGAAGCTTTCATTTTAAATTTTATCTTTGTATCCTCAGTATGTATAATAATGCCTTGTGAATATTAGGCACTTAATAAACGTATCTTGAATTGAGTTGTAGGAGACAAGATTGGCTATGAATAGTAGGACTATATTATAGGAAACCTTGAAGGAAAAATTTGGACTTTATAGTCAGGAGTCATTATCATTTTAATCTGGGGAGTAAATTGTTTAAAGGAATATTTTAGAAAGATAGTGGTATATTAGTGGAGGGGGTGAGGGGAGCAGGAAACCAGATGGCTATTTAATAATCCAAGAGGATTTGGACTAGAATAGTAGTTATCTAAATGGAAAGGAAGAGAAGGAAGTGCTCTTTAGAGCATACATACTTTGGCAAAATACACTGTAGTCATTGTGAGTAATTGTTTGCATTTAAACTATTAATTAAGTACCTTTTCCTTCAAGGAGAGCAGTTTCCCTAGATGAGAACTCTAGCCTCACAATGCCCCACTGTTTTTTTTTTTTAGATTTTAAAGTACAAAAGTACTGAAAGACTGTTTCCAAAAGGTTATTTGCTTTGAGAAATGTAGGTAAAAGTTGCACACACACAAAAAAAGCCCCTTATAGTTTTAAAGTAAGGAACAGCTTTTTATTATGTCTGTATACAAACTGCTTCATGTATTTTTTAAATATGCAAAGTTGACCAGTTTAATCAATTAATAATTATGTAAATTATTAACTCATTATGTAAATTAATTCATCCAACAAGTACTTGGCACTTTGCTTAGAAATTGGGGGTACAAAGAAAAAAATGTTCATTAGCCTCTGCCTTCAAAGAACTTACATTCTGTTGAGGGAAAACAATATGTACACAGAAGAGGAGATGCAAAATAATTTGCAGTGGAAGAGGGTGCAAGCTACTGGGAGAATTAGATAGACCTCATGTAAGAGGTAACATGTAAGCTGAACCTGAAAGGAAGCTAAAGATATTGTGAGATAGAGATGAAAAGGGAATACTTATTGTGTGTGTGTCTCACTGCTTTCTCACAGGATCCTGCCTCTGCAAAGCCACAGAGACAGGAGATGAAATGTATATGATGAACAGAAAGTAGGCCAGTTTGTCTGGAATATAGAACATGTAGAGAATAATAAAGTAGAATAAATCTATAATGGTAGATTGGAGCCAGACTATGAAGGGCTTTAAAAGCCAGAAGAGTTTGTCTTTTATAGTAGAGTCAAGAGGACCTATTAGAGCTTATTGAACAGGGCAGCTAGTTTGGTGTAGCAGATAGAGCGCTGGCCCTAGAGTCAGGAGGACCTGAGATCAAATCCAGGCTCAGACACTTGACACTTACTAGCTGTGTGACCCTGGGCGAGTCACTAAACCCCGATTGCCTCCAAAAAGCAAAACAAAACAAAACAAAACCCTAGAGCTTATTGTGCATTGTCAGATCTATACTCTAGAAATATTAATTTGGCCTTTATCTGGAGATTAAATTGGAGAGGAAAGAGATTTGAAGTAGGTAAACTAAGTAAGAGATTATGGTGATAGTTTAAATGAGAGGTGCTGAGGACCTGAAGTTGGGTGGTGATTGTATGAGTGGAGATATGGGAGCAAAGGAATGAATGAATGAAAAATGTTTAGTAAGTACTTACAATGTGCTAAGTATTAGGGATACAAAGAGAAAGTTGAGAGATAAGGATCACATTCTTATTGGGGGAAACAACACATAGAGGAGGATTCATTTACAACATGGATGGCAAGGCCCAGGAGTCCTTAGGGTATATGGGTATGTCAAGTGGCAATTCCTAGGGATCTTAAGGGTGAGTCAGTAAGGCAGATGGTAAAGCCTAATTGGCCAGAGGAGGTAGTAGCAAGGCAGATAACAGAGTCTAGTTGTCTTCCATCTTACTGGAAAGATTTTACTTGGTGATTCCCTCTTCATCAAAGTTGTGTGAATGACCGTTTCTATCCTCTTGAATTTTGGGAATAGGCTTCCGTTGGGGAAAGAGTATTGGGCTCAACATTTAGAATGGAATAGAAGCTATGGATTACCTACTGAGTTGATGGGGATAGGAAGGTAATTATCCAGCTGGGAAGGGAAAAGAGGAAAAAGACATTGATCAGAGCATTGAGGAAGAGTTGCCCATGGTACTCTTAATTCCAGGACCTTCCCTCTTCTAATTATTTCCTGTTTATCCTGTATGTAGCTCATTTTGTATATATTTGTTTGCATGTTGTCTCCCCCCCTTAGATTGTAAGCTCCTTGAGGACAGGGATTGTCTTTTGCATTTTTTTGTATCCCTAGTGTTTAGTCCAGTTCTTTGCATGTAGTAAGCATTTCATAAATGTTTATTGATTGATGGTCACTGCTTCTGCTAGACCTTCTAGTACCTGGTGAGGTCTGGGGAGTTCATAGGCTTGGGTAGGGAATGAGAACATAAAGAATATTTATGGCTGTATTCTCCTTCTGGGACTTAAGTCACAAGAAATATTGTTGGTTCTATCTCTGCAAGGCTTGAATGCATATGGGGGAATAGGGAAGAGTTGAGCATAGTTTTAAGCTTAAGAATATGAGTGACTAGAAGGATGCTGGAGCTATCATCCCAAAAGGGGAAATTATGAAGAGGGAAAATCACGAAAGAAAGAATTCTGTTTTGGATATGTTGAGTTTGAAATAACTATAGGGCATTCAGTTGGGCAAGTTACTCTGATTCTATTTATTCATCTGAAAAATGAGCCTTTGAGTTTCCTTTTCATCTCTAGATCTAGATCTGTGGTTCTGTTATGTGAGAATGGAGTTTATCAAAGAGGCAAGGGCTAGATTTTTAGCTCTGGGAATCATCTTCAGGGAGAGTTCAACCCATGGGAACCATGACCCCAAAATTTTAATCCACAACAAAAAGATATTGAGGCAGTCTCCAAGCAGTTTCAATTTATTAGGGAAACTGGTGGTTCCCTAAGCAATTGGATGGATCCAAGACTCTCCTGTAGTCAAGGATCCCTCTACCCTAGGGGTGGGGTAGGGCTTCTTTTATAGCAATTGAGGGAATGCCAAAAATAAATTGAGGTGGTACAGTTCTTCACTTTTTTCAGTTCCAGAAGGAAGAAATCCACATGATTGATCAAGGGGAAGAAGTGAAACTCCATGTTTGGCTAAAGGAAGGAACTTCCATATTTGACCAAACTCCCATATTTGGTCAAAGGAGATATCACCCAAATACTGATGTTTAGGGAGTGACTTGGCAACAAGATTCTGGGACTTTCCACAAGCATGTTATGTCACAAAAGAAGATAGAAAATGGGGAAACTGTGGTTTTCTGGAAACAGCAGCTCTCAGAGCACATTCATAGGAGTGGGGAGGAGGTAGTACAACAAGTCCACATCTCTGTCTCTGACACAGATTAATACAGGCCTAAATAACAAACTAATGATCATCAATACATGGATATTATCATCAATGCATAATGGATTCATTAATTCAAACTTACATAATTTTTACCCTAACAGTTAAAACTTCATTCTATCCTATTTATCTTACTTATAGACAATCACTGATACCGTAAATCACAATGATCAAATTAAGTAGGGCTATCAAAATTCTCACAGAATAGATAAGATCAATAAGAATGTAGAGAAACTGGAAAGAAGAGGGTCCAAGACAGTACTTAACATAAGCCTGTTAGAGCATTTTCAGTTGAAAAATGAAGTCAAAATCTATATTACAAAGGCTCAGAAGTGAATGACAACTGAGGAAATAGAGGCAGTGAATATAGAAAGCCTTTTTTTAGGAGTATACTACAACAAAAAGTGCCATCATTAATATTCGTATGCACATGACTCCTTTTCCTGTTTCTTTTGACTTTTTCAGAGTGGTGTCACTGGGTAAAAGGGTCACAAATCACAGTTTATTGACTTTTTTTGGATTGAGTTCCTAGTAACTTTCCAGAATGACTGCACCATTCAGAAATGCATTGTTGTGTCTGCTTTCTTTCCAATATAAGTAATTTTCTATTTCTGTAATTTTGAACAATCTTGATGCATATGATGTGGAACTTCAGAATTGTTTCAATTTTTTATTCATGTGACCTAGAACATTTTTTTTTTCATATAGTTATTGGTAGCTGATTTTTCTTCTCTTGAAAACTGCCTGTTCATATCCTTTAACTATTTGTTTATTGAGAAATGGATCTTATTCTTAGATATTTTTAAATATCTTGGTATTAGACCTTTTCCAAATAAGTGTGCTACAAATATCTTGCCCAGTTGAGTGATTTCCTTCTCATTATTACTGTATTTGCTCTTGAAGGGCAAAATATTTTCAATTTTGTATAATCAAAATTGACTTATTTTGTGATCTTCC